TCCACCTTGTTTTTTTGAGACAGTCTTTGGCTGGTCTGGAACTCGCTGATGAAGCTAGGCTGGCCGGCCAGCAAGCCCCTCTCTCCTCCCCAGTGTTGGGATTAGCACCGGCCACCACAGCCCGCTTTTTCTACATGGCTTTTGGGGACTGAACTCCAGTCCTGGAGCTTGGGCAGCGAGTGCTTTGCCGACTGAGCTATCTCCCCAGCCCCTGAACCCTGAAATTTTGCTGGCTTTGCCCTCCACTATGGCGGGAGGGCTCACGTGTTTTTATTAGCTTATCTTTCAGAGCAGAAGGCAGGCTTGCAGCTTGGCGTTTGCTGTGGCTCTGTCGCTCTTACGTGCTATGCGTCAGTTTTCAGAGCAGCTGACACCCAGTGTCCGCACACCTTCCACCGTTTAGCCAGAACTCAAATGTCCATGGGGTCCGGCAGGGGCGACGTGTGCCTGCAGGCCTGATGTGGAATTGAAGGTGTGACTAGGGTAACATGAAGATGCCCACCACCCAGTCCCCCCTACACCTTCCAGCAAGTCAGCGGACTGTGTGAGTAGTGAGTGGTGGACCTGACTGTGGAGCAAACTCATTTCCGGGCTGCACGGGGTTCCTGGAGCAACTTTAGAAGGCCCTCCAGGAGCGGAGCTTTTCTGAGTAAAGGCTGACTGCTTCCTCCTCCTTTTTTTTTTTTTCCCCCAGACACAGGCCCCAAGCCCCAAGCTTGCCCCACACTCCAGCTCCAGGCATATTCTGTCTCTCTGTCGCTGTCTGTCTCTCCTGCCCCACGCAGCTGCCCCAGTTTTCCGCTGCAGCTGGGCGGCCTTCTTTCCTGGTCTCTAATTGAAAAAGAATGGCTCGCTCTCCCTCCTCCCCACCTCCCTTGTCCCCACAGCTGCCAGGATTTATAGCTTGCCTGTCATGTTGTTTTTTCCTCCCCAAATCTAATTCAACAACATCCCCCCACCCTATCCCCCCCCAAAAAAAAAGAAAAAAGAAAAGAAAAAAAGTAAAAGAAAACTCCTCTGAGGTGCACAGAGGACAGACGTGCTAGGTGAGAGACGGGCCACGTTCAGTTCTGAGGTTGGGAGCCTGAGGTGCAGAAGATTCGGGCCCTTGGGCTAGCTGGGGTCGGGGTGTCTCAACTAGGGTGCACTGTTTTGTGTTCCTGATGAGGGCTGTGGTGGGCTGCTGCCCCCAATCCTTTCTTACTGTTGGAAGGGAAAGTAGGAATTCAGGAACAATTTGCAAAACTCCTGTGACAGTCAAGGCCCTGCCCGGCTCCTGTCTCCCCCAAGCTCTGCAAGTGCACAGCCAAGAATAATTGCACCTTCCAGAAAGCTCTCACCACGGATGTCCGGCTGGCTGTGTAAGGGCTTCTCTCTCTGTTTCCTGTTTCCTGTCTCAGCTGTCTGGTGAAATGCCCCCACCTGGAGATCTGCATTTCACCCCGGGCAGGAGCTGGGTGTGTAGCTCTGAGCTTGGGGCAGGGGTGGGAAGGGCTGATGGACCCTTTAAATGCCAGGATGCCGCTACTGATGAGGTTTGCATCTTGCATAAAGATCTCATTCCCTCTTGACGGATCTTGGGGCAACACTCTTTTGCAAATAACCCAAAGGACCGCCCTGTCTTTAGAGGGGTGGATTAGGCTTGAGGATGGGTGCGTGAGTGCTAGCACTGAGAATCACTCAGGATTTCCTGGAATGGAGCCTGGGAGAGGCAGTCCTCTAGAACCCGGGCACTAACGACGCCGAGTGTCTTGGATCTCATCTTAAAAACTCGGTTCCCTTTTGTTTGTTTCAAACTTGAGTCTCTTTTTAAAGATGACAGCCAGAGGTGATGGGCAGGGTTCATCCTCTAGCAAGCTGCAGAGCCAAGTGTTCTCAGTTGGCCCTGCTGAGTGTGGGGATGAGCCAGAGATGAGGGCTCAGTCAGGGCACCCCATAACCTCCAACTCCTGCTAATTATTAGCCCAGGGGACACGCTGCAGGCCTCCCACTAACCAAGAGGAAGCAGGGGTCCACATTTTTCTGTGAAGGGTGCAGAATTTGAAAAAGTGGCAATGAATCATGGCTTCTCCCATGGGATCCAAAGAAACTTCCTGCAATGGGGCCTGGGCTCCTCAGCTGAAGCCCCTGGTCCCGCTGTCCTGGGCACGGGTGTCCTGAGGTGTGTACATGCTGTTTAAGGTCACTCTGTGTGCACACTCCAAATGCATATCATGTGAGAAATGCAAAGGGGAGTGAATGCCTCACAGAAATTATTACCCATCTTCCTCCAAATGAGACATGCTTCCACCAAATCCCACCTCAGCCAACAAAGTCACGGAGAAGTCACGAAGAGAATATGCTAATAAAACAAACGCCTGCAGAGGGTATTTACTTATTTATTTTAGAGGTTGGGATGGGGATTGTCTCTCTGACGTACCAGGCTAACCTTTAACTCTGGGACTCAGGAATCCTCTTACCTCAGCCTTTCAAGTAGATGGGATTCCAGATGCTCCTAAGCGTTTTATTTTACTTCAGTTTTGAGACAGGTCCTCAGGTGTACCAGGCTGGTGCTAACCATTTAATTCAAGGACGACCTTGAACTCCAGGTCTGTGTTCCTATGAATGGTTTATAAAATCAGGTCTTGATGCACTCGGTGAACACTCTACCCACCAAGCTCGATCCCCACCCCTCCAAAGGGTTTCAAAAGCGGAGCATGGGCGAGGTGTTCCCTTTAATAGACTCCCTTCGTAAGAGGGGAGCCACTGTAGAGTACGGGTTCAGAAATACTGCCCGTGTCTTCCAGCTGGGCCCCAAACCTTTCTTTCCTAATTTAGATGGGGACTTTGGAACCACTAGGGCTTACCTAATTAAAGCTGTGTGGGGCCGTATCTTATGGCAGAAAATAGGGTTTCCTGTAATCGAATCCTCTTAAAATGTCAGTAGAGTAGACTAGCTTTGGGGCTTGTCAATCATCTCTTCTGGCCCAGACTGGCTGGGGGCGGGGTCTGGAAATGCAAGTACCTAAGCCTTGCGCTAACCTGTACCGGCCTTCCTGTCAGGGAAGGACTGGCGGGGAGTTTCCTGCAATCTGGCAAGTGAGCAGTTTTCTAGATACAAGTGGCAGGAGCGGGTGTGTGCTAAGATATCAAGTAGATCATTATTTCCGACGTTTCCTCGGGATCTGAAACTAATGAGAGTTAAGAAGTGTTAAAACTTTGAAAAGAGCAACAACTTAGAAACACATTGTATTCACTCAGGGATCACCATCATTTTATAAGCCACCAAGACAGACAGGAACGGGCTTGGAGAGTTTGAGAGACCTTGCAGATCAAACGCGTGCTTCTGTGGAACCGCAGCGCCGGCACTTGCAGTTCTCAATGCAGCCTCCGGGCGGCGCAAGACGCCGGCCTCTCGCCTGGCCTTTGGCGTTCGTCAACCCGCAGTCTGCCCAGTGCAGCAGGAAAACTTCCTTAAAGGACTTCACAAGTTAACACTGAATGTATATATTCACCACCCACCTGAAGAACGCTCCAGTAAAAAGAAGAAAATTACCGTGTGTGTGTGTGTGTGTGTGTGTGTGTGTGTGTGTGTGTGTGTGTGTGTGTGTGTGATTTTTGCCTCAGTCTGGCAAACTGTGTGTCAACCCTCCGCCCTAGCCGGTCTCCCAGGCTGCGCTCAGCGGAGGAGAAGCTCCAGGGGTTCCCTAACCCCTAGAACACTTTTGCGCGTAGCACGAGAGATACAGACGCCCACAGTGTGGCGTTCTGCGGGTGAGCAGTCTGTAAGCGTGGTGTGCAGGTCTCACGGAACACATGACAAATTCAGGAAACTCCTAAGCTCGCTTCCAAATTTATGATATTATCAAAAAAGAACCTTTTAAAGACACGTTTTAAAGTAGTTGAAATATTTCAAAATCTAATCAGACAGATGGATTTTTGTTCCATCAGTCCTGGGCGGCAGGCTCCTTTTGCTCTCCAGCCCCGGGGCGCTGGGTGCAGGTTCTACTCTGAATCTAATTAATGCACATATTGCAAAAGGCCTTGGTATCCAGGGTGCCTCAGGCCAAGACCCCTGAGAGGTCAACGCGAGGCTGTATGGGGTGGGTGGTTGGGGAGATCTGGATCTTTCTTAGGCCGGCCTGTAGGCGGCGCCCTGGGAAAAGCATTGTGGAACAGCGTGTGCCTAGCTCCTGGAGTCTGAACCCCGGAACCTCAGGGTTTCGGGCGTAGTGGCCCTGTGTGCTTCACAGCCCGTTTCCGCAGCTGGGGACGCGTGCATCAGAATCCCAGCAGCCAGGGCAAGTCCAAGAGGTGCGCACCCAGGGGCGGGGGAGCGGCACGCGGCTCAGACCCCCACGTGCCGGGCAACCCCGCGACCCCCGCGCGCGGCGGGGCTCTGCCCACCCCACCCGGCGGCAGGTGGACAGTGTTGCTATGAAAGAGAAAGCGTCGATTGTCCCCACTGCGAACTGCCACACGCCAGACCTCCTCTTTTGTGTGCCCCGTATAGAAATGCAAACGAGCCGCGTGTGCCGGCAGCAATCTGCTGGTCCCTGCTGCCCGCGCCCCACAGCGATCTGCCAGGGGCAGGGGTGGGGGACGGGACGGGACGGGGTGGGGGTGGGGGGCGGCGGCTCAGACCTTGCAGCCGCGACCCTGAAAGGTGCTGAGTCCTGAGTTCTAGTGGCAGCCTTGGCCTGGAGTCAGCTGCAGTTGCAAACCTTTGACTTTAAGTTTCGGTTTCAGTGCAACAGCCCTGTAAACTTCAAATTGAAAACAAGAAAAAAATTAGAAAGGTCGCAATCAACATAAATGCAAAAAAGACTTTTACATTCTCCAAGTGTGCATTTCACAAATTCCAGTATCGTATTAGCAAACAACGTTGTTGCTTTTTGTTCTTTTTTTTTTTTAAACTTTTTCCTTTTAAGGACTTACAAAAAAGAAAGGCGAGATGAAATCTGCAGGCTCCAGTCTGCCTGGTAACACCCTGACAAAAGCGGCAGATTTGAGGCTGTGTCATCCCCCGCACCCCTCCCCACGTGGCCTTCTGGCACGAGCCGCGGGCCTGCCGCCTCATTTGCATCAGAAAGCGGGCGCTGGCCAATGGGAGCGCAGCCTCCCGCCAGCTGGCGGCGGCGCGCGGGCCGGTCTATAAAAGGACTCGCGCGGCCGGGCCTGGCGCACTCGCTGGTGGTGGGCGCGCGGCTCGGGTTGTGGGGCTCCTTGCCTGCGCTCGGGTTCCCTCGGTTCCCTCCGCACTCTTCACTTTTGGATAACTTGCTGTTCGTGGATCGCACAATGACTCTGGAAGAAGTCCGTGGCCAGGACACAGTTCCGGAAAGCACAGCCAGGTAGGTGGGTTTTGGGGTGCCGAGAATTGGACCTGTCGGGTAGCGATCTTTCAGGGTCTTCTAGGATGGAAGTTTGCGGGGTGGGAGCCATGCACTGTCTGACAGCGAGGTGCCCAGGCGGTGGGACCACATTCGATTTATTCCTAGAACTAGAGTCTAGGGTTCTGGCACCAGGTCGGGATTGGGGAGCCTGGGCTGTGGGCTCCGGATCAGGAGTAGGGAACCGGGGGTGCAGGCGCCAGGTCGAGACTGGGTGATGGGGAATGAGGGCGCCAGATCATGACTAGGGTGCCAGAGGTGTGGGCGCCAAGTCGGGACTGGGGATCCGGGTGTGTGGGCGCCAGGTTGGAGTTGGGAGGCAGGAATGCTGGCGCCAGGCAGGTCTAGGCTAAGGAGCCAGCTGGGACTTGGAGGTCAGGGCTGGGATCTCCACCGCGTCCCCGTGCTGGTCCCCACTCACGGTGCTTGTTCTTCTTTCACAGGATGCAGGGCGCCGGGAAAGCGCTGCACGAACTTCTGCTGTCGGCGCAGCGCCAGGGCTGCCTGACCGCTGGCGTCTACGAGTCCGCCAAAGTCCTGAATGTGTGAGTAGAGAAAGGCCCCGCGTGCAGGGATCGGGGTTGGCGCGGCTGGGAGACCTGGGGGTGGCATCGACTCTGACCTTGTCCTTCCCATCTGCTTTGCAGTGACCCCGACAATGTGACCTTTTGCGTGCTGGCTGCCGATGAAGAGGATGAGGGCGACATAGCGCTGCAGATCCATTTCACGCTGATACAGGCGTTCTGCTGTGAGAACGACATTGACATCGTGCGCGTGGGTGATGTGCAGCGGCTAGCGGCGATCGTGGGTGCCGACGACGAGGCGGGTGCGCCAGGAGACCTGCACTGCATCCTTATTTCGGTGAGTGCTGCTACTACCTCCCCACGCCACTCTTCCCCCACCCGTCTTGGCCAACGGCCAGCCTGGCTGACCCAAGTTATTTTCTTTTAAATACAGAACCCTAATGAGGACACGTGGAAGGACCCTGCCTTGGAGAAACTCAGCTTGTTCTGCGAGGAGAGCCGCAGCTTCAACGACTGGGTGCCCAGCATTACACTTCCCGAGTGACAGTCTGGCAGGGACCTTGGTCTGATCGACTTGGTGACGCTCTAGCGCGCTGCTGGCTCTGGAGCGGCCCTCCGAGGGCGCTCGAGTGCGCATGGAGACTGGCGGGCGGTGTTGCCTGGAGAGCGAGGAGCGAAGGCTCCCAAGAAGGGGGCCTGGCGGCAGCGGGGACACCTTGTTCCGAGCCCGGGACTCTGCCAGTGTCCAGAGAGGCTGCTAGCACAGGAAGGCCTAGGCAGGGACGTTGGCCGCAGGGCCGGGAAGAACCGACTGGTGAGGCAGGCGTGACTCAGCAGCCTTCCAGTGAAAGGAGGGGAAAAGGCAAGGCACGTGGCCTGGACTTGGTACGGCTGCAGGAGTGGCCAGCTGCAGGAGCGAGCCGGACTTCGCAGGCTGCACTGCTCTTTCCAAAACGGATCCTGGGCAATGCTTTCATTTTCTAAAGGACGCTATCGTGGAAGCTTTGAGTTTCACAATAAACTTATTGAAACAAACCTCTGCCTTTTATTGAGGGTAGGGGGATTCTGATCTCAGGGGGAGGTGGTAAAGGGTTTTTCTGGTGGGTGATGGAGCTTATGGCACCTGTGACCGCCTTTCTGTTGGGCAAGAAATTACAGCCCCTTGGGGCTGGCGGCGGCGGGGGAGGGGGTGCTGGCGAGTAGTAAGGAGGAGAACTTGGGGCCAGTACTGTTTTATCCTTTCAGGAAGATTTTAAACTTGCAAGACAGGAGCATACTTGAGATAAGGCATCCCGGTGCAGGAGCTCAAGGCTTGCAATCCAATCAGATAACAGAGACTTCTGCCTCCAGTTCCTCCCCTCCCCCTTGCCCCTCCCCCCCTTGCCTCCGACAGCTGCTTATCTGAACAGCTTGCGCGAGGCCCTGTGCCTTCCAATACAATGAGCTGCCTTCTGCAACTCTGCCCTCCGTGGTGCCTATGGATGGGGGTGGACCGCTTTTGCTTTCAGGAACTTTCTCCTTTTAATTGCTCTGAAAAGCAACGCTACTAAAGTATTAATATCAAATATGACACCAATGACTGCGTTTTAAGTATGAATCATCATTTTGTCACAGCCGTGATGGAAGTTACAGTATCTTAGCAGAAGTTGGAAGGCACAGTCCTATATAAATAGGCGTGAGCCAGTCTGAGTGGGGTGGGCATCTGCTAGTTCCTATTCTGAGTGCCTCTGCCCACACCAGTGAGGGCTGCTGCTACCCACAATTCCTTTTAAAGTCGGAGGAGAAACGCTTGGGAGCCAAGATTATCTTTTGAGAAGGATCCGGGGGACATGTCCCAGTGAGAGGACTTTTTCTCTTAGCTTAGTGCCCCTGGCTTTCACTGCCTGTTCCAAGCTGGCTGGGTTTGTCAGGGGAAGCCCACGTGGGGCTTTCTCACTGTCAGCTCGGCTGCCCGGCAGCCCGCGAGCCTTCGGGGAAGGGAGGGGTGGGGTGCTGTTTTTCTTAGAAGGCCATTCGGCCGATTTACCAGCAGGGCTTAGGGAGGCTGGTTTGCCGGTTGAGAGCCACTTTTAAAACTTGACTCCACATTCTGGAAGCCTGTACAAGGCAACAGGAAAACTGCAGGAGCTCGATGACACTTCCGGTGAGGAAAGCATTCCCTTTCTACTGGAAACCAACTCCAGAGAAAGAATGCAGCCACATCTGTGCCCAAATATCATTGCTACTTCACTTAGGTGTTTTCTCTAATTTTCCATAGGTGGGAGAGCCTTGCAGAGTGGACCTGCAAGCTGGTAAAAATGACTTCTTGCCATAGTGTGCTGTAGTTAAAACAAAGTGGGTATAATTACCCCAGAATGTGGCCTGAAATGCATGAACTCAGCAGAACACTGCAGGCTGGCAGACCCTTGTAGAACATTTGAGTTGGCAACCGGTAGGAAACCTGGCTTTCTCTGATTGGCCCTTACTTTGTGGCCACCTGTTAGAGTTTTAGGAGACAAGAATTTTCAGTCGGGAGGGGAGGTGGGGGGTGGAGACAGAGGAATGCAGGTTTGAATGGCTAGTGGGTGGGGGGAGGGAGGGAAGGAGGGAGGGTGGCCAAGATTTGTGCTGAGTTCTTTTACTTTTTTCTTCATATATGTAAACATTATTATAATGAACTAAGAGGGCAGGAAATACATTGTGTGATGTGTAGTTATTTAGGCAAGGTCCTGGCCTCAAACTCACCACGTAGCTAAGGATAACCTTGAAGCTCTGGGCCTGCTGCCTTCACCTCTGAAGTGCTGGAATTACAAGTGTGAGCCATCCCACCTCATTTTGTGCGTTACTGGGGATGAAACTCAGACAAGCACTCACTCACTCTACCAACTGACCCACACCGAGCCTTCATGTACACGGTGTTTGCAAACACATTGCATTCCATCCTTACAGTGATCATTGGTGAATATGCATGGACAAACCCTAGGACATACACGCCCAGCTTAGGAACAGGAGTGTTGAGCCAATGCTCTGCCTCTAGAAAGCACAAAACGAGTGTTAATAACTTAAAAGCTAACGACAAAAGGAAGAGGAAAACAGCCACACAACCACCCCAATGGCTGCTCAGAGCCACAGGATAAATGGGTGAGCCGAGTCCGATTCCCGGGCCATCATCAAGTTGTGGTGTGACAGTTCCGGGTGCTGGGGCACTTGCAGCTTGTAGGTTGTAGGCTGATTTTGAAAAGACACCTGTTTTCATGAGAGACATTTTTGCATTTCTAAAAGTTATGCCAGGCGGTGGTGGCACACTCCTTTTCATCCTAACCCTTGAGAGGCAGAGGCAGGCAGATCTTTATGATCTTGAGGCCAGCCTGGTCTACAAAGCAAGTTCCAGGATAGCCAGAGCTGTTACACAGAGAAACCCTGTCTCGAAAAACCAAAAATCAAGTGAAAAAAAAAAAGAAAAAAAAAGAAAAAGTTACAAATCCATTTGGAGAAAACTTGCACAATGCAAGTCATAAGAGACCTTGTAGCCCAGCACGGACACACTTGGGGTTCCCGCTGGGGTATGCATCGTGCAGACACACAAGCACACCACATCCGCTTCTGCCGCTTTCCTTTTCAGTGGGCAGTTTCTTGCAGACCCCTTGACGAGAGTGACTTTGAAGACTCCAGTCAGCACAGGATGAAGATGCACATTCAAGTCTAGATCCAGCTGCTCTTTTTTTCCACCTGGAGCCTACAAGCAAGACAGACACCTGGAGCTGGGGGTATGAAGACACAGAATTAAAGCCTCATGCTCCATGTGTGAAAAGCCTGGGCACAGTGCTGTGGACTCATACTCCCAGCACTGGGTAGGAAGAGACAGAAGGACCCCTGAATCTGGTTGACCAGCCAGCCTAGCCTCTAATGAGATTCAGGCTAATAAGAGACCATGTCTCAAAAAGAAAAGGTGGCTGGGGCTGGGTAGATGGCTTAGTGGTTAGCAGCACCCACTCAGGCAGCTTCCAGCCACCTGTAGTTCCAGCTTCAAGGATCTGATGCTCTCTGCAGGATTCTAAATGTCCAGTGTCTAAAACCTCTAGTACCGCTCCAGAGCAGTAAACGTCAACCACGCTGGCCTCTTATAACATGTTTCTAACATGTTTAGATGCTTGCTGTAAAATTTGCCTTGGCACACTTCCCCAATATGAGATGGATACAGAACTGGTGACTGGGCTGTTGAGATAGCTTAGCAGGCAGAGTGCTTGCCACCAAGTCCCAGGGCCTGAGGACCTGAGTGTGATCCCACAACCCACATGGAAGAAGGAGAGAACAGACTCCACACAGGCACACACACACACGATAAATAAATTAAAAAAAAGAGCAAAACAGTTGAAAATGAAAAAGAACTGGGAATTTCTGGGAGGGTGAGGCAGCCTTGTCCACAGAGCAGTGGGCTACAGGGCAGAAGGATCTTGGCCGTTTATTGTAATTCTAAAGGCTTTAATTCTGGCATTTTGTACTTTATTAAAACATTCACCCCCGTGGCACGGTGTATATTGCTCTTGATGTTTCCAAAAAGCCAGCTGAGAAAAAAAAGCAGAAACTGAATTTTTCAGTCAGAAAGCAGGCCATTGACAAGCCAAGCGAGACTAGGAAGGCAACTTAGACAGCAGCTTTTTTTTTTTTTTTTAAATTAAGATTTTTGGGATTTTCCATTGGTTTTCTAGGATATCAGCCCCTTGAGCTTTTCACTCGGGCATGTAGATGTTCTGACAGGGGAGACAACAGCCTACTGCAACATCAGACCCCAAAGAATTAAAATTTCCCCAAGGATTCCATGTTGGGGGAGGGGAAAGGCTGAAGCCCAGTGCCAGGGGAGGAACTTGCCTCCCAGGAAGAGAGTTCACACAGTCCTGATAACTTATCAGACCACCTTGCAGGACAGACTGGAGCCTAGAGATGGGCCTGAGATAGATGGGACCTCACCCAGGTCAGGACAGCTTAGCTATGCATGCCTCTTGGTTCTATTGAAGGGAAAGCTCATGCCAGGACCCCAGAGACAGACAACGGGAAGTGGGGGGGGGGGGGACGAAGGGGGGGTCACTGGACCTCTTTATGTGTTCCTCTCTCTGATGTGGCCACATCGAATACATCTCCTTTCTCTGCTTTTCACAATCACTTGTGGCTGAGCCTGGCTTGGCGAGGCTGACTAACAGCCCAGGGCCCAGGCTCTGAGTCTAACAGCTCCAGTAACTGGCCGCATCAAATGGACCAAAGGAAACTGTCCTTCTGCAGGCCCCATGCGACCCTCAGGACTTGACTGGGGACAGGAAAGCGTGCTTTCAAATGGCGAGCCCAGGAAGCATGCAGCTGGAAGAGACGGCAGGGACGGTGGGGGCTGTGGGGCGCCTGCCACCATATCAGGGCTTTGGCTTTCGACCTAGAGTAAATTTACATTTGGCCTTTGTAACTTGCCCTGCTTTTAAGTTGAACTCAAGCCTCCCCCCCACCCCCCCCACCCCTTTTTTTTTATCTTCCAAGACTTGCCAAATGATTTCACTCTCAGTTCAAAAAAGCTCTCCAGGAAAGGATGAAGGCTACCTGGAGGAGTGTGAATTCTAGGAGGAGGTTGGCTACCCTTGGGGAACCTGGCATCCAGCCAAGAGGGCAGCAGGGTTTAAAATAATCTTTTTTTTTTTCCTCTTCTGTTTGCAGCACCTGGGCTTCGATTAATGCCGGCTGGCCTTTCTGTAGCACAGTGCTGGGCATGGCCTCCCTGTTAGTCCTGGCCGGGGACCACGTACACAGGGAGTGTCAGGGGCAGCCTTCAGTGTCCGCAGGCCCACCCGGCCCTTGCTCCTCTCACCTTGAAGGCACCATGTTGAAAGCCAGGAGACACGTGTGAGAGCACCAGAGAGACCTTTGCCCTCACACAGTTGCTAATCGTGTGAGATTCCTGCAGGTCACCTAAAAATCTGTCACCATTCACATTCCTGTCATTTTAGAGCTGTGAGCACCATCTCCTACTTATCTCGCTTTTCTGATTTCTCTGCAGTCCAGCCCTTCCCAGAATG